CTCTCCTCTCCTCTCCTCTCCTCTCCTCTCCTCTCCTCTCCTCTCCCCCTCTCCTCTCCTCTCAACAAGTCGTCTTCAATGCTGACTCAGTTGCCCTTTACAAAAACTGCGCGCCTTGTTGATCCCTAACTTTTAGTTAATTTCTCGTTCTGTCTGGACAGCACGGTTCTTCACAGCATGATGGCTTTCAGATTAACAGCCAAACAAACTATAAACTCATTGCTCGACCTTCTTTAATGCGGAAGAAATATTCAATCTGTTTTATCAGGTCTGTCGCTACTACAGATAGTGAATGTCTGATCTGTATTATCTCAGCCGGGCTGATCGATATTCAATGGCATTCCACTTTAAGTTCAAGGTCTTCGAGTAGGTTCTACATTCCGCGAACGAGATATTCTTTTGAAAATCTCGGAACACAATGCAAGTTAGGTTTTTGTCCGTACATTAATTATAAATTTCAAAATTGTTGTCGGGTTCGAAACATAAAATACACAAGCTGAGAACGAAAGTATTCTAGGAAATGACATAATGATCAACTGATGTATTCATTTGAGATACACAGTAGATATGAAACATGTGTTAAAAGCATCCATACTTTCTGTCAGTACAACGATTTATGAACCTTTCACTAGTTGTATCACCACAGTAGATACATCTAATTAACGTACTTCGCGTCATAGTTAATAGAGGGGTATGGTTAGGAAACCCTTTTGTTATAGGTGTTTGTTAACTTTTTTCAAGCGTGACCGTGCACAATCCTTAGTTTTACTATTTTTTTACTATTGTTTTACTATTGTTTTGCCATTGTTGGCAATGGCTGAGTGGACAGACCAAAATCTTTCTTTTGGCTGCTAGTTCAAAATACTTAAAGATTTATAAGAGATATTTGAATATTTCTTACAACAATCCCATAGACAAAGTTTATGTTTACTTTTTTTGCAATTTCGGATGCGTATAAATCAAACATTGCCACAGTCAAGACCGGTTTCAACATCAAAAGCGAACAAAGACCTGATAACAATAGGTTTCCTAACCATTCCCCTCTATTAACTATGTAATTCGCGTGTACCATTTGGGTCTCAGCTTCTATATTCCATATTAATTGAATATCATCATCATAATCATCATCATAAAAATCATCATAATCAAAATTTCCCCTTTTCGGAGTACTAGCATCCTTGGGAAGCTTCTGTCTGCAGCACTTGCTGCAGCAGTCGCGTAAGGGCTGATTTGTCCATCATAGTTCTCTGTGT